TAGAATGCCGCTACTGGTTTTGTCTTGATTTTATCTGCAGAAAATGGCAGAAAGAGAAAGAAGCAATGGTACCATATTTCCACCATTTTGCAATGATAAATAAAACTAACAATGGTCAAGATAAGAGATAGTAAAGAAATCTAAAATAGTCAAAAAACAAAAGCAAACAAAAATCAAAAGGAAAATTCATAAAGAAAACATTCAGGAAACTTATAGTTTCAAATATAATGTTGATTCAAACAATGAAATCATTAATACCGTGGCTGCTCATCCCACTTTAGCTGTTTCTTTAATATTTCTATTGCAGCAAAAAACCTTGGTCTCGTTTTAGAAGAAGACATGCAGTGAGAAAAGATGTAAGTAGTCTTCTTGTTTAACTTTTTGATTCTAGGCTTGCTTTGTAAAGGAATGTGGCTGAGGTATATACCAGCACAGGAATCTATAAAGTGAATTATTTGAAAATACTGTTGCTTGGTTAGGATTTGTAGTAGGAATTAAGAAACTCAGGTTCAATCTGTCCCAGTCATGGAAATTCAGGAAGTGATTTTGGAGCAGTACAATTTATCTTCCAGGCTAGGATAACAGTTCGTGTGCCAGCAAAGAGGGCTCTGTGTGCCATCTGTGGCAGGCAGATTTATGGTGCTTTCTATTTTTAACCATAAAAGAGAAATGGTTAGCTGTTACCTTCTTCTGGGAGTTTTTCATTTTTCAGTCTATAGATGTGGGTTTTTTTAAGTTATCATAGTGGTCATCTACTTACCTTTTCAAAGTCAGCAAAGTCAGCTTGGTGCTGCACCTATTGTCATCACTGTTCTTCCTTACATATTTTTGAGTGCAAGAAAAGCATAAATTGCTTGAATATAGGACAGGTTCTTCCTTGGATTTCTCATTTTATTTCCAATAAAAACCGAAAACATTTCCTTACTTTCTGATCAGGTATTCATTGAAATAAATGAATTTTAAGATTAAAAGACTGAAAAGTTATGATTTATTCATCTGACGTCCACTCACTGGCAAGCTTTAAACTTTCTCATTTGAACCTTTTTTCGTTTTGAATTGTTTGTTTTGTTACTGTTATTACATGTTTTTAGTGTTTAATAATGGAACTGTTTTAAAAAGTCAACTTTCTTTAGGGTTCAATAAAAATTATTAGTAAGCACGGGAACAATTTTGTGAGAACAAGGGGTTTATTATGACTCTAACCTCTGGCCTGAATCTATTTAATTGCCATTTCCAATTCAATTGGAAATTTTGTTAAGAATGGCTCATGAATTCTCATGAGTTACCATGAAGGATATTGCTCTGGATCATCCTTCTTCTAGAGAATTGATGTCTCCTTGCCTGTTCCTTACCTACTTTTCACACTGCTAGCATAGTAAAAATGTCCTAAACTGTTTTGCAGCAGCTGTTTTTACATGTTTTTACAGTCACCTCAACAGGGGTAGGCTTCAAAAATGTTAGCAAGGGGTTCTCTGCCCAGTTGCTGGTGGGTGTGGCCATGGTGGGCATAGCCTAGTTGGCTTCCTGCACTGCGGCAAGGTGGGCGTTTTTGTTCTCGCCGGGCTCTGGAGGCTTTCCTCAAGCCTCCCCAGGCTCCAGAGGCCGGAAATGGGCCCGTTTCCAGCCTTCCCTAATATTTTTCACCCTCCCCAAGCCTCCATGTGCACTTACCTGCATCCAAAACAAACTGCATGGGGATTCCTGGGAGGAAAGGGGGGTGGGGACAGCCAGCAGTGGGATTGGGGGTTCTCCCAAACCTCTGCGAACCCCTAGCAGCCCACCTCTGCACTCCAACTATTGTAAAGGAAAATAGAAGAGCTGGACTTTTTTTTTCTTCATTTTTTTGTTTTGTTTCCTCGCTGCAGTGAATCAGCAAACTGGGATC